CAGGCTACAGTTCTCAATGGTTTTTGCCATTTTTTTCCCTTTTGGAATAAAAGGCTTGTTTCTTCCTACTTGTTTGTATGACATACAACTTATTCTACAAAATGTTACTGCCTAAAATATGTATACAGTACCTACATTTTAATTATTTACCTCACTTCAGTCCGTATGCCAGTGTTCTTCAAACTGTGCTTTGAAGTCCAACTGAAGGGATGGTCAATCAGAGACTCGTGTTTTACCACATGATGTGCTCTACCACGTATTGTTGATCTTTTCTAAACATTAAGAAATTAACGTATGCATTTTAAATAAGGAATGAAGTATTACTAATGACCTAAATAAAACTAATTGTAACTCATTAGTAATGAATGTGGCGTTACTGACTTCTTCCAAAGGAGCTACTAAAGAACAAGAACAGTATTATACAGTGAAACACTCTGTAACTCATTAGTAATGAATGTGGCGTTACTGAGTAAGCTTCTATTTCTTTCACTTAAACATTTACTGAGTTCTTTTTAAGGGGTTAATAAGAACAATGACTGTTATCATATCTTATTTGTTTCACAAGCATTTATGTAACACTTCATGACACAACAGCATAAGTTCATTTTAAACATGTAATTTGAAGCACATCTATGTTATATTAACATCACAACTTAATTTTTTAAATCAAATTACTTTACATTGATTACACATCCATCCCATTAAAACTATTTACACAGGGTATTGCTTTCTGCATGTAACAAACGTCCAAGTGATCCATCCTTGTGTTTTTGGTCCAGCCGGCAGGTCCACTCAATCGGTCTTTGTCCGCTGACGTCACACTCGCTATAGCCGCAGTGCATTGTGGGTCAACTCGCCATTTTTGTTGAATACAACGCAAGAGCGAGCGTTTGCGTCCGGTATTATCTTTGGTAAGATGGGATACTCACTCATGCTGTGTGATATTCACAGCCTTTCACACTGCATGAGTATCCCATCTTATCCCACTACTATAATAATCAGTTCACTATCACATATTTAGTAATTAAGCATAACTCCTTAGTAATTAATAGTACTAATTTAGGTGTTAATGAAGCACTACTCCTCTGTTGCTGCTTACTTCCTGCATATTTACCTGTTAACTACGGAACTATTATAAAGTGTTACACAGTATTTACTTCCAGCAGCAGTTCTCTGTGGGCTTTTGGTTGGAATTTTTAGAATTATTTCTTTTTTTTGATGGTCCACCAGGGAAGTGACCTACATGTGTCATGAATTAGAAGGCAGATGTGGCCGGACGAAGTGGCTTCTAGTGCAGACAGTAGCAGAATAAGAGCGGGAAGCATGCAGATGGAGTCGTAGGTGGGTGGCTGTGGCATACGCAGCTACCAGGCTGTGCCACAGTGCCATGTCAGTTGGCGTTCTGTGCCAGCTCCTCTGCTTGATTTAACAGTGACGGACTTACTGTCAGACTGGCTTCCTGTCGCTTGTTTGTACCAACCATTCTGGAGCTTCGGTACTCAATGTTATATTAGGATACCAAGATCTGATGACCAAGTAACATTTATAGCACGGATGACAGACCACTGCAGCAGGCAGCTGCACGTTTGGGTCTAGTTCTACTCCCTATATATCTGCAGTTAAATTTACTGTGCTTTCAGAGATTATACCTGATGTCAAAGTATCACCTTGTAATAACCTGTTTTTCTGCTTGGTATTATGCTATTACTATTGCCCTTATTTCATTTTTGCTATTGTTGGCACTGAACCTGGATTTTATATTTTGGCGAAACAAGAAGTGATAAAAGGAACTAGAGTGTTCCTGCCCTTGACTGATCATGGACCAGTATTCTACTTACTGAAATATAAGTGGCTATCTTTTTTTGTTGGGGGGGGGATCATGATTAGGGCCTCTGTGTGGAGCATGTGCCTTCAATGAGGTCAGCATGGGAGAATCTCCAAGCACCATGGCTGGTCTCCAAGGGCCCCTTTCACCCGGGTTCCGTTGCCACAGTACACCCACTGCCCTTATTTAAGCCGTGCCAAAAGGGCCAAAGGGCTTAGCTTTCTCATGGTGAGCATTTGCGAGTGCCATTGAAATTCTGATTCCTCTTCAGCTCACAGGGAAGGAGACATCACAGAGTACTCGAGCACTGGCAGAAAAATAATGTGAGAACATTTGTGTTTACTCATGAAGCATTTTGTTTCTGATCACTTCATCTAAACCTTTATTTAAACTTATATAACTGCATGTATAACCATTTATTATCTTGCGGAAATTTGTAAAAATGTAAATGGTCAAGGATTAGGACATATGACACGGTGCCTGTTTCACCCCATATGGTACCCAGCTGTACCATATCCTGGGACACTTGGTTGATTAGTGGGGTTATCACAGGCAGCATTGGGCACGAGGCTGGGGTGCATCCTGGATGGGATGCCAGTCACTCCATAAGGCACATGCACACACTCTCACGCCAGAGTTCACCAAACTGTATGTCTTTGAACTGCAAAACCAGACAACCCAGGGGAAACCCACACATGTCTGGAAGAACCTGTAAACACCACACAGTCATAGCAGGGACAGGCTTAAAACCACCAACCCTGGAGGTGTAACACAGAAGTGCTGCCCACTGCGCCACCATACCATCAGATGAATTCACTTAGAAAATAAAAATATACACAGTATTTCAGGATGTGTGGAACACATTTCTTGATGTCTTTTCTCCTGAGAATTTACATAGGTGCCTTTATGCCTTTCTTACAACATTATAACATTTAAAAACCTTATTTTTGGAGTAAAAAGGATGGTAGGAAAGTTCATTCTGAAGCTGAAGGATATACCAGTAAGACTTTCTAGAATATTGTGTATAGCACACTTCAAAGAGGATACTGCTGCATTAGTGTAATTTCAACCAAGACACACATAAGTAATCCCTAATATGAAATGGTTTGCCATACAAGGATAAGTTTGGCATAAATACAAAACTCTGAGGAGTGGCAGGGTCTACCCCATGGGCATTTTTCATCACAGTATTAATGTGGGGACAAATTCAATAACGGAAGACCACAAAAGACAATTTTGGGGAGGTATACTTTATGTGAAAACAAAGAAGTTGTATTGAAAAAACCTAGTAGTGTAGATAAGGCACTACATTAATTCAACATAATACAATATAGGTAGGTAGGGCTTTTTTATAGCGCTTCACAATTGTTTATAAAAATATGTCACTTTATACCTTGGTTTCTGTATTTTTTATACACATAGTAAATTCAGATCCTTAATTTAATTTTAAATTCGTATTATACTTTTTAATTTCTCCACTCTGCTACTAATGCTTGAAAACATAATTTTCTGCCCTAAAATTTTTGTTTCTATAGAAGCACATCAAAACCCACCAATAGAGGTCACCTAAACCATTTGTGCGTATGCAGAGAGGTCTTCAGACTATGTCCCGGAGTGTGGGCGACCTCCAATGTGGATTTAAGAGCCTTTAAACATTTATCAACCCTGACATTAAAAGAGTCTAGAACACAGAATTAGTCGGAGATATATTAAGCAATTAGTACAGCTGCAATACAGCGTAAAGAACGGCGCCAATTTTGACATTTCTAGCGCAGCATAAAGCAGTGCAAAGTACAGACTACAGAACTGATCAATGGGATATCTGCGTGGAGATTTTTTTTAACATGACATTTTAATTACATCCAGGAAGTAAAACACCATTCCAGCTGTTTATTGTTGAAAACTGTGCTTTGTAAAGCTGCATGGCTGGAACTGTACATCAGGTTAAATGTTACTTCAGCTGTCAGCCGTTCAAGTTCACTAGAGCCTCGAGGTGTGCTGTAGTTTGGTCTTCTCTTGTACTTCATTTGCTAAAGTAGTTATGTGTCTAATAATTTACTTAAGGTGCCCCCTCTTTTTCGCCACGATTAGCACTTGTTTCTTATTTCAAGAAGATTAGCACGATTTTAATTGCCTCATAGATGTAAACATAAAAGACCACCACTTTTAAATAGATCGTGCAGTCAGCTTTACTCACCAGTAATAAATACCGTAGTATATATTAAAGGACTGGTGGTGAATTTGTGGGCAGTGCTGCCTGCAGAAGAAGAGTTATGTTTTATTTAGTACTTGATTTACATCTTAAACATAAGGTGGTGATGGAATTCCTGTGTTTCAAATGCTTTAAACAACAGGTGTAGTGCTGGAAGGGAAACTATACTGCGGGTCTAGTGGGTGACCGCGTCTGATGAAATGTTAAAATATAGCAAGGAAGAGAAATACACGTCAGACACTGGATCCTAGTTGTGATATGTGGCATGCATCTCACTGTAGCATCTAAACGACCTATTATTGTCAGCGTAAGATCAAAACACAATATAATATCAGTTGCAAACGTTTACGAGGCAGCGATCGGGTGTGGGGACATGAGATTATCAGAAGGAATAAATAATTTTTAATTTTATACAACTAACCAAGTTCGCAACGCCGTTGCCTTAGATAAGCTTCCCTTGCGTGCAGCTCCAGTTATACCCAGTATGATTCAATTATTTAGCGAGATCATTGGATCTCAGGAAAGTGGGTTGGGTTGGAATAGTGACGCAAAAGCAATGAGGGGAGGGGGGGGCGGGTTTCTGGGAGTGTAAGCTCTGACAACGGGAAAAACAGGAGCAAAGCCCGTTGGGTGCCCGATCTCCGGGAGCAGTTCTGCATCTGACCAGAATAAAACGCTGCCCGAGTAGATTTAGGACAGGAAGCGGAGAGCGTCCGTTCACATGCATGGCGGAGAATGCGAGTTGCAAGCGGTCTGCGATCTCAAACTAGACGCCAGGCGCGCATGTCGCAGATGTGTAAAAGAGTGGCAAGATGCTATGCCTGTGAGCACAGTTAGTCCGTGCTTATTTCTTAGGAGGAATTCAAACTTACCTAATCTTGCTTCTCAGCACCTCGCCCTTTTGAAATTCCTTTTCCAGGGCCCGGGTAGCAGGAGCCTGGAGTGACAGGCTGTTTAAGTGGCATGTGGGTCAATTCTGGAACAGTCGGAAGGTAGGAATGAATTTCGGTATACTAGATACGGGTCAGGTTCTTTTTTCCGCAAGCAATTCTGTTCCGTAACTGAACGCCAAATTTTTTTTTGTTATGTATAGGCGTCTCCTGTATCGACGTTGTGCGATGAGATCTTGCTTAAACTGTAAATGGCGAAATAACGCCCATGCGAGGCATCTATATCACGTTACTTATGGATTGTGTTTGTAACAATGCAGGCCAGTCAGGAAGAATTTCCCGTCAAAATATCCCCCCCTGTTCGCCACTGCGGTGGCGCTTAGATGGGCTTGGTTCTGTGCAAGAGATGACGCTTTAACGTGACGGTGTTAAGGGTTAAGGTAAGACTTCATTCATAAACGTTAATGGCTTTTATGGGAGCCTTGTTGCGGTTCGCATTGTGAAAATGATCCTGATATTTTCACTTAACAAAGCGCATCATCTGCTTCGTAGAACTGTGTTATCTTTCTCTAAGCTTTCGATTTAGTTAAGTATTGTTGGTCTGAATGTGATTCCTGATAATAATCGACTGCACGATTACAACGTGCTCGTGATAGTGGATGTATTGATTAAAAGTAGCGTACTTTACACCCACAGCCACCCTTATAAACAAACATGTTTTCTCATATAAAATCAGAAATATTAGGGTACCTGTACGGATAAAATGCACTTTGATACGCACGTCCACACCCACACCCACTGCTTTTAGCATTTTTAATATTCGTGTATCCCACTATAATACCACGTAATTGATCGATAAGGTGTTTTGTTGTATAGCTAGAAGTAAGTCCTCTGTTAAACTTTAGTACTGATTCGCGGTTATTAATGATTTAGCTTCAGACGAGATTAATCAGCAGAATATGTCCTGAAAACTAAAATAATTCTGTGACAGTTTTTGAAAGATTATTCGTTACGTATGCTGGCAGAATGATTCCATGGGCAGCCGCAGTTGTAGAGTGGTTAAGGGGCAACGCAAGTATACGAATGTTTCAATACTTTCCCCTTTGGTAAGACCGACCCATTGAAACAATACATCCAGCTGTATAAATAGATAAAACTGTAAGTTACGTAAGTCGTTCAGGATAAGGGTGTGTGCTGTATAATAGGATACTACTGGCCTTCAGATGTTTTGTCTGAAAAGGTTTATGACTGCCCTCTAGCTTACATATCCTAGTATTATGAGCAGATATAATTCCAGTGCATGTGCGCTAAAAATATCTTTTCATGTGAAAGCTGGAGTGGATATTTTACTGAAACTGTTTTTTTTTCTAACATCCTATAATATTACAATAAAGTTATTTGCAATAGTAGCGTGTCACTTGATCCACTTAAACTGAATTTAGGACCAGCGGCTAGGTTAGAGTACTTTTAAGTTCTGTGCCCAATAGTATAGATAATAAAAGTGAAATATGTCATGCTGAATAAATTTATGGTGAATAAATGAATTTGGCAGGTGAATAAATTAATTTGGCATACTAACTACAGGATATCATACAATGATTACTTGTCAATTTCTTTGTAATTCATTCTTGAAGATAATACCTGCAGCTTTTTTGTTTTGTTGGCTTCTGGCACTGATAAAAGTGTGTGTGTGTGTGGGGGTGGGGGGGTCCTGAATAAAAGGGCTGTTGCTTGAGTGAAGTCCTTATTGCTTCTAAGTTGAAATGATGAAATTTCAGCCAGTTGTGCGTACACATGTGCAGGAGAAACAGACCGGTATCCTCTAATTCTTAGCTGGTTAAATTTCCCCACATCACTTTAAAGGGAATACCTCTGTCATATATCAGGTATGTTAGGAATGCATGTGCTTGACATTTGCATGTCAGCGAGGAAGGTTTTGAGGATGTGCCCAGTCTTGCTTTAGGTTGTACTTTGTCAGAGTAGACACAATATATATAATTATATAAACAATTTTCCAAGCAGATCAATGAAAATAATGCTTAGGTAGGCTTAATACAGAGTTGGTCTGTTGGACCCTTATCTATTCCTAAGTTTTGATTTATGAAAGTCTTCCAAATTCCACAGTGGTGTTGATACTTTTGATATAAGAAAAAGCATTTTATATAAGATTTTTGTTGAAATATTATATAAAATAATATATGATTATTGCCAAATTTGATCTGGCTCAGCAGGTAGTTTTTCATGTTGTCTTGGTGTTTTGCAGATTTCCAGTGGGTACTTTGGTCCACACTGGGGCTGCCTAGTGTCACTGGTTGGCCACTGTGTGTGCAAGTATGTTCTCTGTGATGCACTGGCATCCTATCCAAGGTCTAGTACCCCAGCTATGTGCCCTGTGCTGCCTAGATTAGGTTCCAGCCCCCCGTGACCCTGACCAGGATAAGTCAATGTAAGATGTATGGATGACATTTTAATGGCTGAGAAGCACTGTGACCTGCTTCAGTTGCGGCAGACCCTTGAGAAACATAATCCAAAGGCATTTTTTGATGTTCCAAATCCGTACAACTACCTATAACTCAACCATTTTACAGAACTGAAACGGATCCCAGAGGCAAAATAGCAGGCCGGAGTTCATTGGTCCAGCTATACAAGTTATGGGCACAACACCCAGGATGATAGAGAAATTAGAGGCAAATTTGACCCATTGGGACCAGGTGACATAAATCAGGCGGTGCCCCAGATTACTAATACTTCAGGAGTGTGAGGCTGTTCTTTACTACTGTTCTGGTGGCGTAAGCAGTGAATGTATATTGAAAGGTGAGAAATGGGAAGCATTAAGCGGGGTCAGGCTTGCCATTGTTTTCCTGTTTCCATGAACCCACTTGCAGGCTGGAGTCTCTCGGCTGTGTAAGGGGTTCTGGTTGCTGTGGTTATGGTGGCCTGCTCTGTTGTCCACGTGCTTGAGATGGTGTCATGCTGAATGGAACATAAGAGTCGCTGTGTCAGGATCCCTAGTTAATGAATGAACCTGAGACTAGGCTAGTGTTTTCATTGAGGAAAGATCTCATGATATTTGCCTGCCTATGAGTCAGACTCGGGGTCTCTCTGGGCAAACTATCAAATTCTGCTAATTGTGGCGGGAACAGCTCTCCATCTGTTCAATTAGTCATTTGTGATCTAAAATTTTAATTAGTATGAGAATTATTGTTTTCTCTGTTATCTGATGTCCTCAGCCAAATATTTTTTCCCATATATCAAACGTAGTAGGACAGTAGTGTTGTGAGTCTAGTTTTGTGTGTACGGCATGGAACAGATTTTAGTGCTGTTTGTTTTGGTGAATGGGAAGGGAAGAAGATTGTCCTTTTATCACCAGAGGATGTATGAACCTAAGTTCCCATTACTGGCAACTAAGACTTTACCACAGTGAACTTCATTGGGTAAAATAAGTAGTTATTGTATCATTAGCTATTTTGCTAGCATAGCATCATAACTCCAACAGATAAACTTCAACCCCTAATCTTGATGCAATAGAAATTCTGAAATTAAAAGTAGTGTAACCTTGCATCACATGTTCCCTGAACTTACTGTGACCAAGAATGATTGTATTTTTTATTGCACAAGTTGCTCATCTCAGTACAGAGGTATACAAATGACTCTAGTCGGTGGGTTACTGTTCCTGATGGTTCTTGGATGGAACAGTACCTCTTCATGGTATTTGGTGGGGGAAAAAACAACAGTTTTGGTACCTTGTTATGGTACCTTAGTAAATCATTGATCTGAGGAATCCTTTCTCCTTATCCCCAGCACCATCCAAATCAGTGGCTTCCTGTTGAGCTTGAAAGCTTTGAAAGTGATTGTTGATCTTCATTGCCCTTTGTGTCTATGGTCTTCAGCTGCTTCAGGTAAACACATGCATGTGTATGACACTCCTATTGCGCTTTTCCCCTTTTTAGGGCTTTCTCCATGGATATTGACTCAGACTATGAGCGGCCTAATGTCGAGACGATAAAGTGCGTAGTGGTGGGGGACAACGCGGCCGGCAAGACACGGCTGATCTGTGCCCGGGCCTGTAACGCCACCCTCACACAATACCAGCTGCTCGCCACTCATGTGCCGACTGTCTGGGCCATTGACCAGTACCGCGTCTGCCAGGAGGTAAAAGCGTGAGCTGTTCCTCATGTGCATACCATCAGTCGCTGTGAGTGCACCATGTAACTCCTTTTTTTTCTCCTTTTTCCCATTGGGCTCTCAGGTCCTGGAGAGGTCCCGGGATGTGGTGGATGAAGTCAGCGTCTCCTTGAGACTTTGGGACACTTTTGGGGATCATCACAAAGACCGCCGCTTCGCATACGGGAGGTAAGGTGTTGGTGTGTTACACGCTGACAGAAGCCTTACAATGAACTAGCACTGCCTTCCAACATCAAAACCTCTGAGAGTCCTGTCCTGCACAGACCATTCCGTACTTAAAATTACTTTCTTATTTGTGCTTTTGTTCTAAAACTTGGTACCCTAGTTCAGTCTGGATGTCCAACCAGAGGTTTATTAACAACTTAATCCATTTATGTAAGAACTACTAATATAGTAACTGCTAATGAAATGTTCCCAATTAACATTGCAACATTTTTGTTTTTAATTCAAGGTCGTATCGTTGCATATGTAACTTTGGCCTCTTGCATAACATAAGGTAATCAGTAAACTGCAGTGTTTGTCCTGAGCAGTAGGGAAGGGCCAGTTAATCAGAGATCAAGTAGTTTGGCATTCTAGGGGCTGACAGGGAGGAGGCCAGCTTTCTTCAGATAAAGCGCTGCTCAGGGGTATAGACATGTGTCTGGGCCCATGATGTGTGTATCTTGTAGTCCTGCATTTTGAGTATCACCACATGAAGGTCAGTTTATCCACTGCTTTGCTATTCATTAGCTGGTAAACAAATAGTAATTTTGCTATGTATCAGAAATGTTATTTAATGTATGGTATAATATGCATAAACATTTCAGAATAAAGTTGTCTTTAGTACATGTATTCCAGACAGTTTGATGGGGCAGGTCTGAAGTTTCTTCTGGTAATAAATCTGTGTTAACCTTTTGATCAGCAACAAATATTCCTAGGGAAAAAAATGGAGTGATTGAAAGATTAATAAATGTAATAATGGATATGTTGGAACCTGACGCTGTTTGTATGGAAAAGAAAATAGATATAATATTTATATAGAGGGAAGAACATCTTTAGTAACTGAAACTGAAGGAAGATGTTTTTGTTCTGCCGTGGGTGTTTCTAAGTTGTAATGAATGACAGGAGCTCCCCTGAAACAGAGACTTTTTTCTTACACTCTCTATTGTTAAGCACATGTGCCTGAGGTTGAAATCTGCATTGAAATCTATAGAAAAACCAATTGACCAATTTTATATCCATCAGGATATACACTTTTTTGCAAAGCGTAAATTGAGTAAATTACCTTAAAGGCATACGTTAGTGTGAAAACACACTTCGCCTGCCACAGTAGAAGGGTTGCAGTGTTCAGTACGGGTGTCTCCGTCAGCTGGCTGACAGAACGATTTTGGATCACATTGACACAGTGTGGTTGATCTGGGTCAGAGCCATTCCCTGCATGGAGTCTTTATTCCATCTGCTGCCTGGTAGGTGAGGTGTGGTTAAATTTGTCCCCCCCCACCCCCCCAAAGGAAGCTTACTGTTTATGTCTGCAGCACTAACATGACATCTCCTTGTAGCTGACAGCCAGTGTTATTCTGTCATGGCTGCTATAGCATGACACAGTCCTTCTTTTTTTTTGGTCTTGATCTTCCCAGCCTATTTAATAATGTTATGCGGTATCGTCTAAAACGTTGGTGCTGCACAGGTTTCCTCCCTGTTGCTTGTCCAGACAAAATTACCCTCCTGCTTTTTTTTCCCTCTTCACCTGAATATATTATCCACTGCCCCTTTTCCCGCTTTACTGCCAAGTCGAAATGAGTCCAAATCAGGCTTATTTGTTTTTTCAGTTTGAATTAGTGACCTGGACTATGTGAAGTATTTATTACACGTTGCTCACAGCTGAGGCTGTTCCATTTTAAATCAGTTATAATGAGCCTGAACAATTAAGCCCCTTGTAACCGTTTCCTAGCACATGACCTCTCACTAACCATGAACCGAAAACCATTCTGTATTTTAATGTGAAAGTGAAGTAATTATCAATAATAGTTAACTATGCGATTACTGAACAGGATGTAGTGCTAATGTCAACAGTGTGGAAATGAAGTTTAAAAATCTCATTCATGCATGCATCATACAGGTTACTTACAGATCAAAATTCAAGATTGTTTCAAATAAGTTAAAATATTTGACCTCCTTCGGTCAGGTGCTCTCTGACCAATGACCCCAATGTTTGGTACCCTACTGTACCAAATGATCACCTCTTGCAAAGGAAAATACAATGAAAATATGATCTCTGAAACCCTTTATGTATGAAGAACAGATATCAAAGTACTGTTGGTGTATCGCATATAAATAGTACCACTCATTATATGATTTCACTTAAATCACCACATTATAAAAATTCAATTTTTACACCTTTCTGTTTGTTCTGACATAAATGCCTCTTTTTTTCTTGTCTCCATCTATCGCAGGTCTGATGTGGTCGTGCTGTGTTTCTCTCTGGCCAACCCAAACTCTCTGCACCATGTCCGCACCATGTGGTTCCCTGAGATCAAACACTTTTGTCCTCGGACCCCCATCATCCTCGTAGGCTGCCAGCTGGACCTACGCTATGCTGATCTGGATGCTGTTAACCGTGCTAGACGACCCCTGGCCAAGTATGTGTCACACTCCTCCATCCTTCAGATGGCTTCTCTCAATGAATTAGGATCCAGGTGGCAGGGAAGAATCATAAGAGTTGGTACAACTTGGCCACAGGGCATTCAAGCAGTCCTTGTGGCTCTTTAAAATATTAAAAGTTGTTCCAGTTGGTACTTCAGATGTGATACAAAATTATGATGATATCCCCATTTTTTTTTTGTTGTTTATACCACAGGAGTATTTTTTTCTTGAAACAGGCTCACTTGCGCCTCCATTGCTGAGCGCCAGCTAAACCTCTGTCCGCAAATCTTGGCCATTTTGGCAAATGAATTAGGACAGGCAGCCAAGTTTCCGGAGCTTTTCCATAACCCTGTCAGTAGGTATGGGAGCGGAGTCTGAAGTGAGATAATCACTAAGCTCCTCTGTGTGACAATGCATAGGAAGCTTGTCGGCATGACCTTCCGCTCGTAACCTAGCTCCTTAACCCCCAACAAAGAAAAATGCTTTCGGGAATTTAAATATTCTTAGATGATCTATTACGGTAATACCAATATAAAACCACAGAATGCCTGTAGCATGCTGGCAACACTTAGTTGAATACCTTATGGTATAAATTTACATTAAAAAGCTATTGTTAGCTATAGTTAATACAGTAAACTAGCTTATTATTCAGTAGCCCCAGTGTCAGCTATTGAAGTGATAACAAGAACAGAATTGTATTTCTCTATACTACGAATGGGAATGATTTCTAAATAGCTCATGGTAAAATATTTGTCTTTTAATAAGCATGCTGTCCAGAATTTTCCATCTAAATAAGCAGAGCAGATCCTTATTTTGTTTATTTTCTTGGACTTGCTTGGTAACTTTTCCACAGCTTTCAAGTGGATTTATCGCACTTTCACACATACGCCAACAGTTCTTCTGCTCGATTCATGGTAAATAATTGGCTGTTCCTTTTATTTAACTCGTCTCCTCAAAGTGGTCTCCTTCTTCCCCTCTTAGACCCATAAAGCCTACAGACATCCTTCACCCGGAAAAGGGCCACGAGGTTGCCAAGGAACTGGGAATACCATACTACGAGACCAGCGTTGTGGCACAGTTTGGGATAAAAGATGTTTTCGACAATGCCATCCGTGCAGCTCTCATCTCGCGTCGCCACCTACAGTTCTGGAAATCCCACTTGAAAAAGGTGCAGCGTCCCCTCCTTCAGGCACCCTTCTTGCCCCCACGCCCCCCTCGCCCAATCGTAAGCAGACCAGACCCGCCTGCTGTTGATGGAGTGCCCAACTCTCTCTTCTGTCAACCTCTGTGTGCTGATGTACTCTTTCTCCTGGAGGGTGGCACCACTCAGGTCTTTGCCCATAAGGTTTATCTGGCCACTTCTTGCTCTAAATTCTATGACATCTTCACTTTGGACCTTGGGATGATGGGGGAGGGCAGAAGTAAATTTGGCGTGGAGCGAGAGGAGCAGGAGGCGGCGGAGGTGGATCTGGGCAGGGTGGACAACGAGGAGGATGAGCAGAACCGGAGTGGCGCAAAAGAACAGGCAGGACGCACTAAGAGCCTGGACATTGACAAGGACGAGGAAGACTGTTTCCACGAGCCAAAGCAACACTTCCTGCTTCAGCAGGCTTCACTAAGAACTTCCCAGAGTGATAATGCAATCCCTGCTAGGACTCAGTGTTCTGCAGGGGTTTTGAGAGGCAGCCGTATAGTCTCGGGGTGGGGGCGTGGCTTTGTGAGTGTGTCCCTGGAGAATGTGAAGGACCCTGTCACTGGGCGATCTAGAGTCATGACTGTGGTTACTATGGATGAACTCATTCAAAAAGGACCCTTCCAGGTATGCACTCAAACAAATCCTAGGTAGTATTTTTGTATGTCTAGACAGAGGTTAATAAACGCTAATCCTTGAAGGTCACTGATTATACAGGGTTTCTCTCTGCTTCAGATTTTATTTACTTAAACAGATGCCAACTGATGTCATTATTTGGATAGTAAGTCACCATCCCTACTGTGTTGGCTGTAAATATAGCACAAATAGAAATGCTCCTTGAAGCCCCCTTGTGTCACAGTTATAAAACCAAGCCTGTGATTTGTGTACATCTCAGCTGTGGTTTTCATGCTTATTGTGATGCAGTTTGAGATTTTCCCCGGGGCCTCCTCTTTGCTAATTTCACTCTCAGGCGGTGCTGGAGTATCTGTACACAGGAAGCCTGGATGAGAGCCGGGGGGACCTGAAGCAGGTGGCCACCATCGCTGAGCTTCTGGAGGTGTTTGACCTGCGCATGATGGTGGCAAATGTGCTGAACAATGAGAGCTTCATGAACCAGGAGATCACCAAAGCCTTCCATGTGCGGCGAGCTAACCGCATCAAAGAATGCCTGAACAAGGGCACTTTTGCCGGTATGACCCGTTGTCCATCTGTGTCTTTTTTTGCATGTCCTCTCACTTGCCTGCTCTGCTGTATGAAGTACTGAAGCTACCAGTGTACCTGCAGAACCAGTTAAAAGTCTGGATACACCCACTTTTAATGCATTTGTCCCTTACTATATGGTGGATAAGAGAGAAAGGCCTCAGCAATGACATAGCAATAATAATGCAATAATTTTGTAGAGATTTGGAATTATTATTTTTCCCTTTCCACATGCCAAAAATCATCAGGTTAATATTACTTGAACAAAAAAGATTTTGGCAGGTATATTTTAATAATTATTATAAATTCATCTTAATTATGGTTATAACATGTTCTGAAATAATTCCTTGTTTTAGTAGTGTTCAATGATTTCATAATGTTTTGGTAAGGCTCTTGCTAGCTGATTTTAATCCAGAAAAATCCATCTCAAAAATCTGAAAATAAATTCAGTCCTCAGTCATATTAAAGCTACTGGAAAAAAGATTCATTCTGGCCCTCCAGTCATTAATGGAGATCATTATTTGATGGAATCTTCCATACACAGGAAACAATGTTCATGCTTTGTTTGAGTTTTTACAGACTTGAGGTTAGAATCCATGAATACCAGTGAAAAACAGTCAAAAAAGTCAAAATAATCTGGCCTTGTTCACTCCTTAATTATCTTACCTAATAAGCCAGTTCTGCATTTGATGTTTTGGACTGGTGACCAAGTAGAACGGAGATTTAAAAAAATGCTGATTCCCATTGTTTTAGCTCTGCTTAATTTTTATTAAGCAGAGCTAATAAATAGTATAAATAGTACATAAACTCTTAATTTTAAAGTTAATGTCAGACCTTATGTGTGTAGCCAAGGTCTGAGAATTGAAAAGGCAAAGAAATGGTGTGATATTTCTGTGTGGACAAAAACATTGCATTTTTCTGCTCAACTGTCTTGTACTGATTTTTTTTCGCTGCCTCTTAGTCTGTGGTTGCCCATGTATCTCTTTCTATTAGTTTTATGTGTCTATTATATAACTTTTCTGTGTCTATTTATTTTTTTGTCTATCTGTGTCTCTGTGTCTGTTTGTCTTTTTTTTCTGTAGCTGCCACTCTGTGACACACATCGAGATGTGTGACTTTCCCCTTCCCCCTCCCCCGGTTGTTTTAGATGTGGTGTTTCGATTGGATGATGGATACCTGCCTGCCCACAAACCCCTGCTGATCTCCAGCTGTGATTGGATGGCAGCAATGTTCCGTGGGTCTTTCATGGAGAGTTATACTAATGAGGTTAGTGGAGGCTAGAAACTCATGGATCTGTTTTCTCAGTGTCTGCTTGCGACATGGAGGAGGTGTAAGAGAGAAATTGACAGCCTTCTAGAAGTATAATACTGCCTGTGTATTGAATTCTATTAGAAATTCCATTTTATTGCTTTATTTCTTTCCTTTGTTGTTAAATGTGAGTTTTGATCTTTGCTCTTGAGTGACAATCTGCTTTAAGGTACCCTCAGCTCCTTTGCCGTAACTTATATGCAAGTATACAATCTTCCAGCATTTTATAGATCAGCTAACCTTTCATAGCTAATTAGAGGCTGCTATTGGAAACTTGACATTCCCCTAATTGGCAGGTGAAGGGTACCACATGGGGGGCTTCTGAAGGACACTTGTGTGCCTCTACCCAGGGGCCAGTGCCTTGGCTTTTACTGGTGACCAGTGGCAAGTAGTGGTGGTGGGGGGGGCGTGGGGGGGGGGGGGGGGATGGGTTGCCACAGCAAAATTCTGATGCCCCAGCGATTTCCATTATATCCTTAAAACCCCCTTAATTCCTTGGCTGGGACTCATGGAACAGAGCACAAGAGTGTCATTGTTTCAGGGCCGTTCAGAGGCTGTTTGAGGGGAGGGAGTAAGGATGTTAAGTGACAGCACTACATGACACTCTATTGTGGTCCCTGCATTCCAGCCTAACAGACTGATCATTTGGTATTACTTGATACCCATGGCCATAAGGACTCATTGTATGCCTACATTACTGTCATTGATGAAGCAGGCCAATGTTCTCATTCTGGAGGCTGCAGAGGCTTTTCTGTCAAGGACCTACTCTCTCTCCCCGTCACATTCCCGCAGTGCTTTTATCGCACACAGATGAAAGACACGTCTTTGAAGAAACTGCCCTTTATTCTGAGCTTCTGTCGCTGTTCTTCGCTGTGACATCACCCTCTCGTTGCCTTTGCAGTGGCAGCAATGTGCTATTCCCTTTGACCAGGGTGTTTAACCTTTTGTGACATCTTTTTTTGGGGGGTGGGGACCTTGACCTAGTTGATTTTGGTGCCAGGAATTTTGAGCTTCATATATGAATAGTTGTACTACTAACAAAATAGTACTTGTTTAAGAATAAGTAAGATGGGTCTGGGGTGGTAATATGGCTGATTTCATACCAAAAGGTAAATCCAATAAGTGTAGTCTTTCTCTTTTGATTCTTTAACATTTTTGCGTATTGCCATTTCTGATAAATGTTAGTATTTTAGTGTTGTTGCGACACGTAAGTAAAAGTTCATGCCATTTGTGGTTCCCTTCTTCCCTGCACAGGTATCCATCCCTAACACCAGCAGTGCCTGCATGCGTGCTGTGCTGGAGTACCTGTACTGCGGCCAGCTGACACGCAGCTCCAACCTGCAGCCCATGGAACTCATTGTATTGGCCAACCGTCTCTGCCTGCCCCGCCTTGTAGCCCTAACAGGTTAGAGCCGGTGGGATTGGCCCCAGCCAATGATTGATTTCTGGAAATGTTCATGACTGGCTTGTGGAAACGAAACAAGTCTATGATTGGGGAGTACAAACTGTAGCTTTGCAATTGCCCTTCACAGAGCAGCATGCTGTGGATGAGCTGCTGCAGCTTGTGACGAAGAGCGAGGACATTGACGGGCAGGTGTTGACTTACCTGGAGATGGCTCAGGTGGGAAAGCAGGCGACAGGAGATGCATCTGGAAGCTTTATTTGCATTAAAAACTTGAATGAAATTTTAAATTGTTTCAGTGTTGCAAGTGATTTATTTTAATAATTAAATTACGTCATATTAAGGGAATTACCATTTTTCTAAATTCTTTTTTTTCCTTCTAGTTCCACAATGCCAAACAACTGTCTGCATGGTGTTTGCATCACATCTGTACAAACTACAACAGTGTGTGCCGCAAGTTCCCCAAAGACATGAAAGCGATGTCCCCAGGTAACTCTACTATGCGCTACCACTTTTTTTATCTTTGAGATATCAGTGTGTGGGTATTTTTAGTGGCTATAATTAATCTGAATGTCAGTGCCTGGATAAAACATCCTGTTCTCAGAAAGGGAATCCTCATGTCTGTTTCCAAACATAGATCCAGAAGACATCTGATTGTCATTTCTGTCTCTTATTTTGTTTTTTTTTTTTGTTTGTTATTTGCATGTCTGTATACGTCTCTCCGCACTCCGTGCCCACAGAGAATGAGACGTACTTCGAGAAGCACCGGTGGCCACCCGTCTGGTACTTGAAGGAAGAGGACAGGTACCTGCGTTCCCTGAAGGAGCGGGACCGGGAGGAGGAGATTGTGCGCAAACAGCACATCAAGCGTGGCTGGTTCTTTTGGAGACACTCATCCTCTTCTGCTCCCCACATCTCCTAAACCTTCAACCTTTTTCCCCAGGCCTCCAGTCACCACTGTAGTCCAGCCCCCCTCCCCAAACTGTGAAGCCTTTAACTCCCTCCCCCAATTTTCTTGCAACTTATCTGACCTCTGGTTGCCTGTCGGCATCCTAGCTGTACTGGGGCTGCGCTCGTAAGCTCCTCCTATCCTGGGCTTCTCTTCAGGACAATATTATGGAACCGCCAAGCATGCAGTGGAATTTGGGGGCATGACATCCTGGGGCTAAAGTCAAGAGATGGACTATATGATATTGTGATCATGACCCAAAAAAAACAACTTAGGGCTCAAGCACATTTTTCCCAGTCATCCTTTTTCTGCCTGTGGGAATCCTGTATAAATGTATTATAGTACATTTATATCCCCTTTTTTTCCATTAATCCTGTTCTTCGGCTATACACGTACAAAGGTCTTAGCTGAGGTCTGTGTGATATGCTGGCAAATGGAGTACCTCATCTTAAGGCTTTTCATAGTTACTATGTCATACCAGCTAATCAAATTGTTACTTATTGGAAGGAGAGTTTTGCTGTTTCAAATCTGTCCTTCCACACACAGTCTCTCTCTCTTGGTCCAGTTTTCACACCTTGAAATCCACTTCCAAGAAGATTTGTTTGTTTTCCGAAAAACCCTCCTGATTGTCTCCAGCTGAAACTGAATGATACTTTTGTTCATAAACTCCACTCCCCTCCCTCTTCTGGGATATTGAAATTAGTCTGCATAATTTTGCTGATTGTTGAATAATTGTAACTCAGTTGGGTGGGTTTTCTTTGTTTCATGCTGATTCAATTCAGCGCATCACTCCAAATATTCATACGTAATTATAGAAATGGTCAATCGGCCAATATAACACTTTTTTTTCTCTTTTCACTCTATAATTCAGAAGGTGAGGGGGATGAAAATAGGCACAGATGAAAAAGGGGCAATCAGCATCCTGACTGTGCCATTAGTGATCCTAAGGCTGGAATGGACAGATTTTAAAAACATCCAGAGTAACACAGGTGGTGATACACAGCTTGATAAAGTCCAACACCTTCCATTGAAATGGTTGAGTTGGTATGTCAGGAATACTTACAGGTGTGTGAGCTGGGCAGATGGATGGTTATTGTCCACAGTCCAAAAGACCAGCTAACATTTTTTATTACAAGGTCCATAAAATGAGGTACTAATCAAGGCAACCTAAATGTCTATTTTTTTGCTCTGTTAACATTTGAGTATATTTTTGTAATTACAGTAAAGTAATTGACTAGTCATGTGGGTTTTTGAAGTTTACAGTTGCCAGGTACATGTGGCAGGTCTATGTGGCAGGTCTTTCAGGTTACTATTGGTAATCTAAGCTGAAACCTCTACTAGTTCAGGAACACAAATTTCTAATGTTATTCTGCCTTTGTTTTATTTAGTACAAAGGTAGGCTTCCAATATATATGAAATAATCTGATGGATAGAATTGAGGTATATTTACAACTGTAAGAAATGGAACATAAAACGTGTAATACTTTGAGGAAGTTGTATGTTTCAAATGTCTTTCAAATGCCTTGATATTAAGTTTTGGTGTCTTATTACGAAATACCCTCAAAAATAGTGAATGCAGAAATCAACTAATTTTTTTTTCCTCAATAATGCTTTGAAAGTTTCTCTGGGGCAGTTTATTGGAGAGTTTAACTTTTTTGCAGATCTGCTTTTGGGAATTCCTTTATTGTGTGAATTAATGGAATTCTGTTGCTGGCTGTGTCAAGTTTTTAGGGTCAGACAGATGTTGGGTGAGAAGGAACAGTGTCTTGGTTTGTCCCAGGGCAGTGCTGCAGGGAAGGGAGACTGGAGTCGTCCAGGAGCATGATGTCTATGTCTTGACTTTGGTATATGGATGCAGTTTTTAGACCTGACTTCTGTACCCAGTACTGGTCGCTTTCATATGCATTGTTATTCCATTTGAGGACCAGTAAGAACCATTAATAACAGCAATGGCAAGTGCATTTTCTAAAGATGATATGTGAAAGTGCAGTTTACATTTTAGAAAATCTTACACCTGCTCTCGAACAATTTAATCACATAGTAAGATACTATACATGCTAAATATTGACTTAAGTCTCAGTCTTTGTATACTGTCCTATGGTATTGACTTAATGATCATGATGTGTTTGCTTTGGGATTGCTTTTACAGACTATGTGCATCTGCCTTCAGTACCTATTCTCATGTACAGTGTTATAATTACCACCACTTATTACAGTAGTTTGTATGCCAAAGTCTTTGAGGGTTTAGTGTCTAGGTGGAATTTTAGTTTGAGTTTTGCCCTAGTGGACTTTGGAAAATCCAAAAGCATATGCCAGAACTTCCAGTTAAGTGAAGCCTAGAGTAATACAAATGTATGGAGTAGGCTTTGCTTTCTTTTATATTGCAATGCATTGTAGGAGTGCAGGGACATTGTAGCAAACCAACTGCAACTCGTGGCTTATGTCAGCCAATATGTCTTTTCCCTTTGTCTAAATTGGTCTTCCAATGATGGAGCTTCAGTTACTATTCATCCATTTATTTATTTGATTATTTTCCTCTGGAAAAGCTTTTAAAGAAGTAGCAATATTAACCTTATATATTAAATATATTAACAAAGACTGATTTCAGATACTGGCCTTCTTTAAAATCAAATTTCGTTGGTTCTATAAAAGTTCTAAACTTCTGCAATTCTAATATATTTCAAATATTGTTATTGGTTTTTATCGATGATGAATAGATGTTAAATGAAAGGACATTGTTATTTATGAACCTGTTTTAAGACTTTGGTGTGGAGGTTGTACAAAAGAGGGCAAGGACATTACCACCTTTCTGTATTTTACTCTTGAAGATTTACAGCCCTGCCAAGTTTTACCAGCAGTGAGCAAGAGCATCCCTCCACTTTTTTCCTGCTCTTTTAATTGTGTTATTTGTTTTTGTTGTTGTTTGTTGTTCCACATAGTTCTTGTGCCTTCTATGGTAAGGAGTATGTCGGGTTTGTGTTCCCCCCAAGCGTCTCCTGTGCCTTGTCATTCACAGCGTTGCCTGTCTCTTTGTGGTGCTTGTGGTCTTGGGGGAAGGAGAAGGTCTGTTTCTGAATGAGACTCCCTTTGAGGCTGAGCTGTGGTTGATATCTGGTGGTTGTCCAGTGTTCTGGACACACACAGCTGGTCAGTTACCCTCACTTACCTTGGGGGCATGTGCCATGTGTAAGTAGTCTTTTTTTTTCTTCTGTGTCGTGCTGTGGTTGTGCTGCCATCTACGGGCCAAAACTTTATCCTACCTTAACACACACCCTGCCTCTCTGCAGTTTCACTTAATCTGCCAAAATATAGACTCACTGTTTTGCAATAACTAACTGTACAAAGGAGTCATTAATACACTTCACGTCCTTTCCACAACTATCCAAATACAGTCATTCAACTTTTATAACTTCTGAAATCTGAAGCAAAATAACTTGACAAAGTAGTACAGCTGTAGTTCCATTGTCCATTACATCCATTCACATCCCCTGCTGATATGGTTTCCACACCTGTTGATATGAGAAGAGTTCTAATCAACAGCAACTGAAGACCGAAATAGCTTTAAGGCCCTGACACTCTAATTGTATTGACGCCAAAACCAAATCTGTGTCATTATCCACCTTAACCATTTGGAACTAATAATGTGATTGACTAATAGTGTAATTGACTAATAGTGTAGACTATTCCATTACATCATGGCAATGATTAAAGCACCGAGGCAGTATCAGGCAGTATTATCTCTAATAGAAAATACATGCTGACCAGACACAAACCAGATCTGGCCAAACTCACTAATCAAATGTTCCTTTTTATTTTGATGCCTTTCTTTTAAATGTCAAAATAATTATTTCATCTACTCCCATCCTTCATCTTCTTATTTCTTCTGGAGGTTTGTAATACTGTGAGTGTATTCTTTATTATGTAAAATAAGCTAGTCCCTCTATCATCACTGTACCACTGTAGTTTTAACTCCTCATTCCTGTGCAGAAACAGCCTTACTCAGTCTGCAGTTACCTGTCTGCTACACTTACAATTTATTCATCACCACTTCTGAAAAAATAACAAGCTAAGCAATGATTTAATTAAACTGTGATATACACACAGACAGGATACCCTTTTTTCAATGAAGTTAGGCTATGGATGAGCCTAACCTGTGGCAGTAGTTTGAGTAACCTCTGGAGTTTGAGTAACCTCTGGAGTTTGAGTACTGTTGTATGTGGCCAGCCTGTTGACTGGATGTGCTATCTGATTGGGTGGCTGACGTTGCTTTCTTGGCGTGATGTCTACATATTTGCACATATTGGGTTTCTTGTTCACACTGTCTGTATTGAGCATTATTGTTCAGATACATAAGCTGTAACCACTTCTAAGCTGACTTTAGGTGAGAAAAATCAGCATACTCTAAGGGCTTTTTATAGTGTTCTGGTGCTTTTGCAAAAAAAAAAAGTGTTAAAAAAGAACTTGAGAGCAAAACAATTCCTTTGTGATATTTTTGAACCAGTGTCATTTATAAAAACTGTGGAAAATGTATTGCATTTTCAATAATTTGATGTTTGACTTTTATTATTAAATTTTTGCTGAAGTCTTTCACTTATGAGTTGTGTGGTTTTTGCTGTTTTACATGGTTTTGTTGAAAATATTTGGGTGTCTGATAAATGACTAACCCCTGGTTATGAAAATACTGTATATCTCTTTTAAGATGTATTATTGTTATGTATTTTTATTTTAAGTGTTCTTCAACTATATAAATTATTGAAATAATTGTCAGATTTATTCCATATTCAACCAACAGGTGGAGCCACAGTTTGCTAAAATGGGTTGAATACGTAAAATGAAATAATGCTTCATTTACCAATGCCACAAGTAGCAATTCTTTAGTACTTGCATATACCACCTTGCTCTCATTTGATACATACACCTATACATATAGAACAGGGGTGTCAAACCCCAGTCCTGGGGGGCCGGAGCCCTGTGTAGCTTAGCTCTTTCCCTGCTCCACCACAAATTATTTAGCTTATGAGCTGTGTGGTAATTAGCACAAGCAGTTGAATCAGGTGTGTTAAATGAGGGGAAACCCAAAAATGTGCAGGGATCTGGCCCTCCAGGACTGGAGTTTAACACCCCTGATATAGAAGGTAGCTTGGAGTCAGGGCACAGGGTCAGGCAACCCTGAAGCATTTTGGGGAGATAAGGATCCTTACCCTGGAGGGGTGAGCAAAGAGTGCCAAACCACTAAGCCACCAATATCCCATTTCAAACCTCATTTTTCAAAATGTTGTTTATGCTTAGAATCAGCATGCAAAAAATATATTGATAACCAACCTTTGGCCTTGTATGAAGGCATCCATTTTAAGTTGCCCTAAGCTAATCCTTCAAAGAAAATTCTCACCCACAGCCAGGGGTAGATACATTAGTTTTTTTCAGCTCCAAAAATAGCTCAAGTAGCCATGCCAGCCTAGGGCCCCCAGAGAAGTAAATCCACCCATGTCTATAGCTACTCTTTAAAAATGGTTTGGAAGATACTGATTTGTTTTTTTTTAAAGCCATTAAATAATTGTGTGTCCATGGCAGCTGACCGTGAAACCAATGACAGTACAGGTCTGAAACAGACTGCTGGATCTCAGGCACATATGACAAACAAGAAACGTGACAATAATGGTGGTGTTACATAAAACAATCAATGTCATAGATCTGCAACGGGGCATAAAGCCTGTCTGGTGAGAAGCGACCACCTTTTAGATGCCTGAATGGTATTTCTCACTAAAAGATGCCATCCAGATAACTTTTAATCCCATTTTACTTTTTCCTAAGCTTTTAAAGAAGCCTTCGTGTGTCTATTTGTAACTATACTTATAATGGCTCAATGATAAAGGCCTGCATCCAGGTGTCTCCACACTATAATTGCATCCAAGCTCATCTGGAGTGAAGTTTTCAAGCTTAGTTAGCCACCTGACATTTCTTATTGGGAAGTTCTTCAGCTACACATGTTTGCTGTCACTTAACAATCCTGCGACTTCCTGTTATAGTTTGATCATTCCTCATAATAATTGTCCCATTTGGGCCAGACTGTGTGGCAGTGCTGGATTGGCCATCTGGCATACCAAACATTTTCACTGTGGGCCAATGGGAATGTGGGCCAGCAAAATTGTTTCTGAAGTTAAAAACCTTTCCAGTTTACCTTCTATCCCCTTAATTTTCATTCTCACATTTGCAGTAGTGCCTGATCTTTCTTCCAGTACTATATTTGATTAAATTATTTTTCCTACAGATTATGAGGTCGGTACCAAGCTTGGTTGTAGGGATACAGTGTCTGTGTAAATGACATTACATGTCCATTGAGAGCTTAGGCTGTTGAGGCTGATAACCAACACTGCATAGCTTTACAGTGACCTAAACTGGAATGCCAAATGCCTCAGTACAAGGTGTGTGATTGTACACACACCCACAAATCATCTGGGGTGCCCTTTCAAATGTAAATAAGCCAACCATCTATAGTGACATGGATAAGCTGAGCTGGCCTTCAAACATGCTACTTGGAAGACTGGAAAGTAGGAGTCTCTGGTCCAAGTTAAGGCTTTAGATGTCTTTATTAGATTTTTTTTTTTCAAAAAGGCTCTAGAGCTTATGGCTGACTTGTGATTATGTTGCCCCACCAAGTCAACCGAGAGAGTGGATTAGGTGACGAAACTCTGAGCTGAGGTTTTGGTACAATGGATAGTTCAGGGTTGTAGTACGAGGACATGTTGTGCTAGATATACAAGCCTGTCACAGAAGCACTGCCTGCAGCAGCAAAATGTTTTATTGGCTTTTTAAAAATAGAAACATAGATGATTTGCATTCAAAAAAACCAAACAATGGAATAATGACGTTTTTATTTCCTCATGGTATTAAAACCAGTTCTACTGGATTATATTGGTAGTAATTCCTTCAAGAATATATGTTGAAATCATAAATTCTACATGTTTTTTTTTTTTTTTTTTACCTTCGGAAGAATTCATTCACTTATATTGAGAGACGGTTTTCTGTTTTGTTTCCTGATGTCTGTGAACCTGATGATGATGATGATGATGATGATGATGATGATGATGAAAACCCTTTATTGCTGTTGCAATATACCATGTCACTAGTCACAAGTACCAGCGAAAAAACTGGCCATCAACCCGACCATACATATACAAACATCACATTATAGGGGGTAGACAGGTCAGGAAGACGGGGGATACAGGAAGAACAGAGAAAACAGAATTACATGAGGAGAGAGGAGGAGAATAAAAAAACAGCCCCCAGACTGTACTCCAGTAGGGAGTACAATGTAGGAACAGAAAAAAACACCTCAGCAACATAAGCACATAGTCACTACACCTTACAACATAAAAAGTCGTGACTCGCAACATGGGAGGGAAATGGGGAGGTGGAGATAGTCCAGCATAGACAAACAGCCATCCGGTCCTGCAGCCAAATCCAGCGCCGGTCACAGACCCGCCTGTTCACGCTGGGGGTATGAAGCGGCGAAGGCGTGGGTTGGGGGGAGGATGCGGTGAGTGCGTATCTGTACGTATGTACACTGCCCGTCCTGCATTATTACAGTCCTGCAACGTTCTGCAGCAATAAAGTAAAGTCAGCTGAGTACAGTACCTGAATCTACTGAATGGCCAGGTTAGACCGCCATCCATCATAAATGGATTTTTTCTTCCCTGTTGGCCTGGGCATATTCCAGGACAAGAATGCCAAGATTCAATGGGTTCAAATTGTCAGGAAGCATGAGGAATCATTTTCACGCGTCACGCACCTTAACCTCATTGAAGGTCTCTGGGATGTGATGAAGGAGGCTTTATGGAGGTTCAACTCACTTGTCAATACAGGATCTCGGTGAGAAATGAATGCAAATCTGGATGAAAATAAAGGATGAGATGTTGCATAAGCTTGTGGAAACAATGCCATGACAAATATGCGCCATAATCAAAGCTAAAGGCGGCCCAACAAAAAATTCAAATGGCGACTTTTTTTTTGGACGGGCAGTGTACAGTATATGTGTGTGTATCCAGGTGTACATATTCTATGATAGTTCCACGTATTTTCATCAGTGCATTTTTATTATACATTATATACATTAGTCAGGAATTATGTTGCAGCTTTTGTATGATGAAGACATTGATTATTGCATTGTATTAAAGAGCAATAGAACAATATTTCCTAGTCCTGATTGTCGTAACCAAAAACCAAAGAACTTGAGGGCAGGTGTTGGGAGAGGAAAAAAGGGCTTTATTTAAACAAAATGGGAGCAAGTAAACAAACAAGACCCCAAGGGGTCAAAACGAGAAGGCTAGTATGGGGACAGCCATGGGCAGACAAGAAGAGTGACATCAATGACCAGGCTGGGGAAGACAGGACTGGTAAGCACATATATATGGGGGGTGAAATGATGCAGGTGAGGATAGTTTCCACAAGGGTTGGGGCTCATGAGAAAGACACACCTGGGAAAAATCAAAAATGATATGGAGGACCAGCAGCAACCCCTATTGGTCATACAGGGGGACGGACCAAACAGGTTGTGACATTGATCCTCACCATCCATGTACGCATGTTCCTGGCCCATCTAGGTTGATTTTTTGTTTGTGATTTGATTGAACAAATTGATTCAATTTCACAATTTTAAGAACTTGAACTATATTCATTATTTCAACGCTTCACTTTAATTTTCTGTTATGTTCCATCTGCCACAGCCAGGTGTTATGTGAGAATCCCCTTGGCCTGGTCCTGCCACTTGGGTCCTCAGCAATGAGGATCCTGTGAGCCGGATCACCCTCAGGGAAACGTGCCTCATGGCTGTAGTGCCGTAACTGACACTCCCTCACTATGCAGGTAATGTGCCTCATTCGGGACTCCTCTACCAACCATTCATTCGACATAAAGTCAAACCAGTGGTACCCAAGGATTTTCCAAAGAGACAAAGTACCGAAGGAGTCCAGTCTTCGTCTCAGCTTACTGGATTGTGTCCATGTCTCACAGCCATACAGCAAGACAGGGAGCCCCAGGACTCTATAGACTTGGACCTTCGTCCTCTTGCAAAGATATTGGGAGTGCCACACACCCCTTTCCAGCGACCTCATGACCCCCCACGCTCTTCCAATCCGTCTGCTGACTTCACAGGAAGAGTCACCAGAGACATGAATGTCACTGCCGAAGTAGGTAAATCTCTCGACAAGGTTGATATTCTCCCCGCAGACAGACACACTACTGATGGCTGTGCCTAAGAAGTCATTAAATGCCTGGATCTTGGTCTTTATCCTTTAACTCCTATCTCAGTCTCTTGAGAGCCCCAATCAGAGATTCCATTTACTCCTCTAAGATCACGGCATCATCAGCAAAGTCAAGATTTGTAAATCTTTCTTCACCAACCCCACAGCTGCCGGACTCCGCCACCCTGCCCAACACCCAGTCTATACAAGCATTGAACAGAGTGGGAGCAAGAACACACCCCAAGCAAACCCCAGAATCAACTGGGAAGAACACAGATGGTTCTCCCTCCACTCTGCACAGCACTCACAGTACCAGTGTATAGGCCGGCCATGATGCCCAGCAACTTCAGGGGATCCTGCAAAGTCTCAGAATGTCCCACAGGGCAACTCTGAGTTGAACACTTTACATGAATTGACAAAGGCTGCAAAGAACCTCTGCTGAAATTCACGCTTGCGTTCGATGAGAACCCTCAGTGCAAGGATCGGTTGATGGTAGACTTCTTAGGCGTAAAATCAGACTGCTCCGGTCGCTGACAGGCAAACACGTGATCACGGATCCTGTTAAGGATGACCCTAGAAAGGATCTTACCTGGCACTGAAAGCAGTTTTATCCCCCTGTAGTTGCTGAAATCCAGGCGATCTCCCTTCCCTTTTCAGTTAAGGACTACAACTCCTGTTTTCCAGTCAGTTGGGATGACGCCTGACTCTCAAATGGAGGCAAAGATTGCCTGCAATGCCAGGAGGACTGCCTTACCACAAGCCTGGAGAAATTCACCCCAGATACCACAGATCCCTGCGGCCTTCCCTGCCCCGCCGTCCATCCACTCAGAGACGGCACAACTTCCGCTGACAGGCACACGCTAGAGCAGGAAAAAGAAGCGAAAGGAGAGGAGACCAGAAGAAGCTCCGACAATCTTCCTGGGGGCCTGCTCTCTCTCCACAGCTTCTCTCCCTGCCGAATATCGGGAGGAACCCCTCCCTATCCAGAATCCAGCAGGGCTCACCCCGGACATCACCACCACTTCGCCCCAGCAGGTGCCAAAAGCTCACATCGCCGCCACAGAGCAGCCACCACTAGCTGCTTGCCAATTTCGGGAAGCACGCCATGCTAATAAATGGGCCAGAGCTGTGTGCGATGCTATCCTGCGGATCCCGAGAGCTCTTAAAGGGGTGACACCCCCTTTTACGGCGCCGACCCTGGCGGCTTTAACTGATGTCCCTGACTCACCTATTCTCCCAGTTTCTGCCCTGCCTGTTCCTGTGTTGCCTAACCTGCCTGTTCCTGTGCTGCCTGATCCTGCCCTGCCTGTGTTGGCCGAGTCTGACCTGCCAGTCCTGAAGGTCCCAGCCCCAGCTGACGTGCTGTTCAGGGAGGCTGTGGCCCCAGCTGCACCTCCGGCTCCGCCTGAGGTTCCTGTCGTGGCTCCGCCTCTGCCCGAGGCTCCTGTCGCGACTCCGCCTCCGCCGCCAAAGGTTCCTACGCCACCGCTGCCCGAGGTTCCTGCTGCAGCTCCACCCGAGGTCCCAGCTCCGCCTCCTACTCCACCTCCTGCCCCCCTCAAGGTTCCGGCTCCTGTTTGGCAATCGCCTACGGGTCCCCCTTCGAGGTCTCGTCGACTGCCTTCAGTCCTGCCTCCGCCCCCTAGTCGGTCACCTGCGGGTTCCCCCGCCTCGGCTCGTCCGGCGTCTGTGGCTCCCCCCATTACAGCTCATCGGTCGGCTACAGCTTTTCCGGCTATAGCTGCTGCAGCTGCTCTTCCCTCTTCACCTGCGCCGTGGTCCCCTCCGACTTCCTCCTCGCCTCTCCTGGTGCCCCCTCTGACTCCCTCCTCACCTGCTCCGCCTGTCCCTCCGCCTGCCTCCTCGCCCCCTGCGAGGTCTCCTTCGGCTCCGGCCTCATGGTCACCTGCGGACCCTCCGGCTGCCACTCCTCGCCTGCTGCGGTTCCCTCGGGCTCCCCTCTGTCCGCCGTCCTCAATGTCTCTGAATCCTTCCTTTGTCCCTCCTGTCTTGGCTCCTCGTCCCTTGGTGTCTCCTCTGTCCACTCTTGGTCCTTTTGTTTCTCCATTCTCTGTTCCCCCTGTGTCTCCTTTCCTGGTCTGCCTGTCTGCGTTTCCTGTTCTGTGCCAGATTCTGTCTTGGCTTTTGCCGTTGTGCTTGTTCTGTGTTTCTATTCTGTTTCCTGTTCCCAGGTGATGCTTTTGCCTTGTTTTTCAGGCCCTGTTTTCCCAGTCTCGTCTCGTCTGCCGCTCCCCTTGAGGCTCGCCCAGAGTGCGCGCCTTTGAGGGGGAGGTTCTGTCAGGACCTGCTCGTACTGCCCTCATGTGGACCACGCCCTCTCATTTACCCCGTGTGCATCCTGCCTGTGAACAGCTGTTTCCTGTTTTACCCGTCCAGGCCTGTGTATTTAAGTCCGCGTCTAAGTCTCTATAACCAGGTCTGTCATTGACGTCTATAGCATGTCTTTGTGCCGTTCTTCTAATAAAACCCTTGCCTTTTGGATTTCCGAGTACCCAACCCTGATTCCTCGTTCCTCGATCGCTTGCTCTGCCCATGGTTACAACACTAGGACACTGTTACAGAGTCAAAAGACAGACCAAAAACTATTGCATTTGTTATCACACACAAGTCACATTGGGGGAATGCATTATTTTCATGGATGATCATTATCTTAAAAACTAGAACCAACTCAGCAAAAGTAATTGGATTTTTGAATTCAGCACCCTCAAAATACCCTAAATCCATTCAAAAAACCTTGGCATCTGATTTTTTTTTCTGTAGACTTGTCTTGTTATTAAATCATAATTTACACTGTCTAAATTTAAGATTTGAGTCTCATTGTGGGGTGCAGGCCGGTGATGGCACGCAAGTGCTGGTGCTTCTGATGGCAGGATGAACAGCAGCATGGAAGGAAGGAGAGACGTCACTGGGAGAAGAGCGGGCAGGCTGGCAGGACATTACAGGTCGTAAAGGCATCACAGGCAGCAGGGTGGGCAGAATATATTGATTTTTTAATTTTTTTTTTGTGGGAGGGGGTCTCCAGGCAGAACACCCTAAGAAAGGTAGGGGGAATAAAAAGTACATTAACCAACGTAGGGGAGACTAGAGGAAATGCAAACGTTTAGGTGAGTAACATGTAAGCCCCAGTAGACTAGGGCAGGGCAGCATAAGTAGGTAGGCAGTGAAAATTCAGTTCATCCAAAGCTAATGGCACCAATCCCCATCCAGCTCTGCACCTCATACTCTAGGTCTAACTGAGAGTGAGGAGTTTTCTAGAGGTAGAACTAGAGTTCCGAGTGTGTTTTTAGTCTAGACTTCAATATTAAAAGTGAGCCTGCATCTCACACATCTACTGGGAGACCATTCCACAGCTGCAGAGCTCTGTAACAGTCTAGGTCCAAATAGATATCCTGTTCCTTGAGACTGAAGCAGACAAGGAGGGTTGTTACTCAGGATTAGGAGCCACTTGCATTCATAATAATTTACTTTTCCCCTTACACTCCGATACCGTGGAACATTACGAAAGCAGCCCAAAACCCCCCAACCCCCGAACTAGTAATATTTACTCTTCGAAGTAGCGAAAAAACCGCGGGGCTGGCATCTCTGGGAGAGTCTATTGGAGGGAGCAGGGTAAACTTTGTAAAGTCCCGTTATATTTGACTCCCTCTATCGAAGTAGGCGGGACCTTTTTATGCCCATCAGTCCTCATACCCCAGTCTTCCAGCTGTTTGGTTAGAGTAGTACCAGTGTCCAAAGTTTAAGAGCTTGAAATAATTTGCATAAACATTTGCTTTCGTGTAGAATTTTTTTTAGCTATTGCAGAACTTTATTTGCCAGTGAAGCAAACTCATTGACTCGAAAATCTCCCGTTAACATGAAAGCAATTAATCTAAATACTTTCAACTTATCCCTGCTGACTGCCAAAGAAGACGTCTTGAACCCTCGTTCTTCAACCGACTGGTATGTTCACCCGGCTTTGAATATAAAACAACGTTTTCTTGAACAAACACTGATCTCTGTAATAAAGTATTTTAAACCGACGTGTAAATGTTCTCTTGGACGTTGATTTTTGATGTGTACAACACATTTGGTTACTATAAATCATTTAAATTTCCAGTATTTGCACAAAATAATGCCATTAATCTTTTTGTCTCAGTCGTTATAATTTATGCCTTACAATGAGTATTTATTATATGAAATTTGCCTTTTTATGATAGCTCAAAAGGCTACATAATTGTATAAGACGGATTTACAACTTAATCGCTAAGTACAGTGCCGTTATATGGGTATTTTCTACAGGACCATTATACATGTACTGCAGACTTTGAATTGCGTACATTTATACATGAGTAGGCTATAACCATTGGGTTACTTAATGCCTATTTACAGTGTTATTGCAGTTTTTTTTTTGTATTGCGGTTCTTTAGTAGGTGAATGTCAAAGAAAATACATATATAGAGTGCATATACACTCAGTGGTCAGTTGCATGCCACAGACAACATATTATCAGTTAATATGGTAAAAAAAAAAAAGGTGCAATGTTGCTTCATACAGGGGCGTCAGAAGCATTTTGAATGTGAGGGGCAGGGGGACACACTGGAATAAAACTAATATTTTATGTTAAGTGTGGGGGGGTCCAAACGAATAATTATGAAATGTGAGGGGGACACGTCCCCCTCAGATTTAATGGCAGCGACGCCCATGGCTTCATATATATTGTTAAAAACACAATACCCTATAATACTATTTACACAAGCTATTTACATACTTCCTTTATCATGCTTTTCAATTGAAAAAGCTAACTGACCTCATTATGGATATAGCAAATACTGAATTACTGATCAGTCAAGATGATTGTAATAGGTATCCTATATGTTATCACGTCCATGTTCGTGCAGGAGGCATGCTGCCGAGGTGTGTCCTGTAAATGTACCTCTTTTTCATACTAAGCTCAGGCCTTAAGGGATTTGTATCAATTAACCTTTCATGTACTGCTGAACATAGATTCACCAAATTCCCTGTCAGTGAACTAATCCTGGATAGATGTTTCTGGTCCCACCATTTTCCTCCGATGTGTTTTTGTAACTTCCCACATTTGTTATGTAATTTATCAGTCTGTCCATATCCATGCATTTATCTTTCCACCCAGTCATATTCTGATTGCTTATGTTATGGTCATGATATTTCTTATGTAGATCATTTTTTCTTTAATTAGTATTATAACAAAAAAGACTACATACATGACATATGAGCCACATAAAATACAGGTGTATGGAAACTGGGGAAATTATTTTCATCTAATACCCTGAATTGCTTTAAGCGTAGACAAACTGAGATTAAGATTATTTGTTTGTTTCAAAACTTTAAATTATCTTAAAAACAGCTCATAGTGCATACTTAAAACCTTGCTTGAAGGCTGTTAGTGAAAGTTAGTTAGAAAGAGTTTTAGGAAAAAATAATTATTATCCATACATACTAGAGGGAGGTCCTTTTAAAAGAACAAATTAACAATGTAACAATATTCATCTTACTTACTTACTGAACTGTAAGTAATAATTTAAGGAATTTAATAAATGAATGAATGCATTGTAAAATTAACAGTGGCTAAATGCAAATTCAGGCAGCACTGTGGTGCAAAGGTTAGCACTGTCGCCTGACACCTCTGGGACCAGGGTTCGAGTATCTGCCATGGCTCCATGTGTGTAATTGCAGTTACCGAGTTGCCCTTTAATGAGTTTTTGCCCCATCCTGTGTTGTCCTGCCTTGTGCCTGTAGCCTGTGGGATTGGCTCCGGACCCCCTCCCCCCCTGAATAGGACAAGCAGTTACAGGCAATGGGTGGTTAATTTCAAATCTATGTGATACATAGCTATAACCTCCCAGCTGAAGAGAGATGACTGCTGAAAATCAGATCAAATAGCTGTCATAGAATAAATATCATTTTAGCTGCTATGATAGTGGTAACTAAAAATTTGTAAAAATATAAATAAATATTTGTAAAAATATAGCTCATCAACAAAGGCCTTTGGTTAAAGAATGTGGCAGGATGTGGCATGGAGGCTTGTGTCAAGAACAGGAGCGAGATATAGGCCTCCAATTCAGGGTCAGCTAGCTCAACAAAATGACAATTATGTAAACTGCAAACATGGAATGGGGGTGATGCATAATATAATCAAGTATAAGACATTGCTGGGTAAACTCACTAAAGAACACAAAGTCAGCAAACACTGTTTTGCTATATATAACAAGTACTGTACATATGATTTCTCCTTTGTGTTGCACAAACCTAGTGACTGTTTCCTAAAGATGAAATTTACACTGAAATTCATTTACAGTTGAATCAAAGACATAATGATTAACTAATAATATGTAAATTATATAAAGCAATTAACTGCATTATACATATCTTTATGATAAAATGCATCTCTATGTGACTCCATTTTGAGGCACTTGTTCATACATTAATGGGTTAGCAAATTAAGGGCCTGTTAAATATATTATCCACAAAGAAGCTCCAGAGAAAATTCCACACATAAATTGTGAAAGACAGAAATTTCAGTTGAATTAACAGGAAGTATCACATACATTTTTCATGCAGTGGTGGCAGCAGTAAAATGGGTATAACAACTGCTAATATTTCCATAGTCTTTACTCCGCTCCAAGTAGAACCAGCTTTAAACAAATTCAACACATTGTTACCATTATAATGGCAAAGTAGTCAAAGGAAGTGGTTACTAAATGTAGTTAGTGGTTAGGCGTTTCCCCAGCATTCATGCATCTCCAGTGTGCAGTTCAATAAGCCTGCTGATATCTGGAGGCAGGAACTGGAGATGGACAGGCCAGGATCTTAGGCAAAGAAAATTATGTTTTAATGATCTTCATGTTGGTGTAAAACCATATTAAGTCTGTCAAAGTGTGCTAGCTTAGCCATTTCAAAACCTTTCCCAAAATCAGCAATTTGCAGCAACCATAAAATATACCCATGCACCTTTTTCACCCAACCATTAGCACACCTTGTTTGGATAATCAATACCTCGTTGAGTTACTTAAATAATTAAATTGATTAAATACATTGGTGGTTAAATTTTATTAACACATGGAATGGCTGGGGTACTCCTGAGGAAAGGTTTGGGAACCAATTAGACCAAGGGAACCAAGATATTGGTAACTTTATTAGAAGAAAGCAGAAAGTGTTGTAAATTTCTTTGGTTAATGTAAATTTACATATGTTCTTATGTTAAATTGTGTTTTTTTATGTGCAAATATACACTAACTACCCAGATAAATAGATATAAACATTTTCTTTGACTACCTGAAGGTGATGGTACATGGGGTAACTTTTTTTAGCAATGTTGCCGGACAATTGCCGAGCAGGTGAGACAAAGTGCAACTCATCTGGATCTGGATGATCACAAAAAGTTGCCCACTGCCGAGTTTTTCAAATAGAAATTTGTTGCCCAGCATCAATGGGAAAGTGGCTGAACAGCATGAGTCAGCAGCATTGCCTGGCAAATTTCTCAAAAAGTGACCCTGTATGTCATCACCCTATGAATTTGGCACAATACAGCATCAATTTATGTCAGGTCTTAAAATTCAAATTATAACATTTTTTATTTACAAAGCACAAAAACTACAACCTGTAGAAATGTCAGCATAGTAACATAAAAAAGAGCTTAAACATATTTTAATTAATTTAAATAATGAAATAAAACATTTTCAATGCAACCTCATGGAAAGTCATGGAGCCAGACGTAAAATTATAAAAATGCCCAGATATGTTAAGAATTAATACATAATAAAATGAGGAAAGTCAGCATATGGAATCCCCCATGCAAAACCCATCTGTTGCTTACAGTTTGTTGTGGTACTATGGATGCATCATAATGAATTATTTTTGGGTTGATAATTCAGATGTATCAGATATTAAATTATGTTAAGTTTAATTATTTTATTTTTCAAGTCTCTTCCACTGTATTTATTAGCTCAAACACAAAGGAATCCACTTACAAAACTATGAAAAATAAAGTAACTGAACAACAAAGATAAAGCAAGATTTGCGGTAGGACATGAAGGGATTAAGTGCAGTTCGATATAAAAGTCATAGTCACAGAGTACTTAACTGTTTTGATTTTTTTTTTAAATCATGGTCTGGATTTTTACTTTCTGGACCTGAACTACCTTCAGGTATCAGCAAGGCATCTCTCTGGGGAGGGGGGTGGTGCATCAATGCAGCTTACTTTTGTGACATATAAACAGTGCTGTTCATATCACACCACTGGAATATTTATGTTTCATTAACAGCTGATATGGACAGGGAGTCAGGGAACACATTTTAACAGTTGTTACTCTTCTAGTAAAGACTGAATAGGCTGTTCATTAGTATGGACTAACTTAAGCTAAAGAAGTAATGGGGTTACTTCACTCATAACCCCTTTTGAAAAGTATTTACACTACTCATATCTTTATGGTATTAATTCTTGTACACCCCTCAGCTTGACATCTGGGGTTGTTTACTCGCTGGTCCAGTCAGGGAGGAGATGATACTATATTTAATTGTGATGCTTTTTCTTTGTTACATCTATTTGGCTATTGAATTTCAGCCTTTCTTTCATCACCTCCTGTTTACAAGGACAATATACAGGCCAGAGGCACTTTCCGCTCTATCATCGGATGTTGGGGGGGAGGACATAAAAGTCTGTATGTTTTTTTTGGGGGGGGATTATAGGACTTTTGTGTGTCTAAAGCCACTCTTTCTCCTGCTTATCCTCATAGACGTATGCATCATGCAGTAGTAAACAAGGTAGCATAGCAGGACAATGAAGTCATAGCAAAGGAACTTAATTTCCTCTCCATAGATTTGAGCATGGGTTTCCTTTGTAGACTGGGCTTGATGTCTGATGGTTCTAGGCAATGTCTCTGGGTGACTTTGTAGTGGATTCTCAAGGCTGGGGCGGTTAATGGAATTTGCACCCCCGAATAATCTAATCTGATGGCAGTCAAGCGCGGGGAGGAATGTCCTGATGTCATATCTGCAGCATAGCTGGCATGTAAAAAGGGTACAATTTTAGAATGAGTAATGTAGACGCTCAAGAGTCAGGGATGCAAAAGTTAAGGTTAATATTAAAGCCCAAAGTTTGAAGGTTAATACTGAAATGAAGCTTGATACTTTTGAGAAACTTAACTATCTGAAAAGCATCAAATATACTTGTATTTTTACAAGTGCACTTATATGTGCAGTTTGTTCCATCAAATTATTTAGATCATTTGAATAATTTTACTGCAATGTGAAAAAGTCTACATGTAAAGGGAACAGTGAGATGTAGTTATTTATTATTTATTAATACTATAAACAATACTCCAATATCTTGTCTTGTACATGATGTAAACATCTTATGAAAGAACGCTTTCTGAATCAAACGCTTCTTCACGTGGGAGCACTCATGATGGTCCCTGTCACACCTCTCCATCATCACATATTAGGTGAAGTCTTTGGTATGAACATGTGACAGTTACCAGAAGAATAATTGCCATAGGGCATACCTGGAACATCCTATGACGGGAAAGGAAGTGGTGACATAATTTTCAGTGCGTTTAGGTTTAGAAGATAATTAGTCACAATCTTTTCACATTGTTGGTTTATAACTTTTTAATCAAACTAATCTTGCAGTCCCAAAGCAGTTCTTAAATATGACACACTACTGCATACCCATAAGCACTGGGCACAAGGCAGGGGAACACCCTGGATGGGATATCTGTCAATCACTGCCAATCAGAAGTGCACATCTAATCATACATCTGCAATTTAGACAAGTTAATTGATCTCACTACTTGTATTTGGATTATGGGGTTAAATCAAGAGTACCAGGAGGAACTGCATCTGTAGCTGTTTATTTATTATAGGCCTGTCTGATTTACTCTTTTCATCAGTAATACTGCCTAGAATATTCTTGGAATTTTAAGGACTATGGAAAAAATGTAGTAAAGACAGTCCCCAGGTTACAAATGAGATCCACTCCCTAAGTCTATCTTTAAGTCAAGTTGGTAGGTAAGTCTGAAAAATAATAATGCAATACATACAGTACTGTAGTAAAAAATATATACTGTAAAAATAAAAGTAACTACATACGGTATTGTACTGTACTGTACCTTGAGTTGACAAACCTCTGAAGCCATGCAATGTTTTCATGAGCGTGTGAGCGTTTGTTATTACGAACTATTGTATTTAACCCAAATTTTTAATATAATAGACTTTTTTATTATTATTGCAGTCTGTTCGTAAGTACGAGTTGTCTGTAAGTTGGACATTATTTAACCGCGGACTGCCTGTACTTGCACACAGCTGAGTACTGTATTTATAAAAGTCTCAAAGGTTTCTGTTACTTTAATGAATATTTCATTCTTTCACTTTTTTCAGGCTAGGATTTCTCATTTATGCTTATTTTTGTGTAGCCAAATTCTTCCCACCCATTCTTCCATGCTTCCCTTCATTATAAATCCTGCACTTCCTTTTCTCCCATTTTTAATTTTCCCTCCTTTGTTATTTCCTTCTTTTTCTTTTTTATTTCTTTTTGCATTCTCAAGAAAGCAATTTGACTCTGTCTCTCTCCCTTCCTCACAGGAAGTCTGAAAGAATCATTTTAATTTCTCTTCTAGTTTACAGATAGATAATGTTGGGAACCCATGGGAATTTTATCCGGAGCTGGAATGATATGGAGACTCCCTGTCTTCTCAGACTCCTTTCAGCCTACTAAATAAAAGCAAAATAAATCAAGGAAATAATCATATTGGTAATCATATTTGAGATGACAAATTTTCTTCTCGTTCTGAGTTTGGAGTTTGTGACATTCAAGGTAGAAGCAGCAGTCTGCTGTTATCACCATTACTATCATGGAAATATTGGTGTTTAACAGAGGATGGATTTGTATGTGAGATTAATAATGTATTCCCGCTTTTTCAAAATTTATTTTGTCATTATGCATTCATTATGTCATTAATCATTTACTAACCTAAACTTTTTAATAGGTTTGTTTATGGAAACATACTGTTCATTTAAAATGAATCCTACAAATATTATCTGACATAATATTTGTATTGCTTTTATACTGTATAACAGCGCCATTGCTGCAAAAACACGCATAACCAGAATAGGAACAATGTACCAAGTGGGCTGGAATGCCTCAAAATATTTTCAGCACCTAAAAGCCATATACCTTCCTCATACCACTTTCCATTTCCTCAATTTCAGTTACGCTGTTTTGTTTCACAGTTTCTGTCATAGATTACTATCTAAAACCCATATGGATTGTGCTTCAGGAATGCTCTGAAATAGTTCCTGGGCTCGGCGCTGCTTAAAGGAGTATTCAGTCTTTCAAACACTTCAAGGAAACCACTATTAAGTGCTGAATCTTTGGGATTTACATACATCACAAATGCTTTTGACCAGCTGTCAGACTAAATGAGTAAATGCTAAATGAGTAACATAAGTATTATAGTATTTAACAGTGTTAGGGTCTGTTTGTTGCAAAAGTACCACTGAGTCATTGAAGTCAGGAAGTTAATTACAATGTGTTTCTGTCAAAGCAGTCACTGCTTGCCCTTATTTGGCAAGCATGTGAGCCATACAGAAATTGGACTAATTATTTAAATAGCAGTTGCAAAGGGATATTGAAAAGGAGGTATTGTAGTATAATGCGCAAATCTTGGATTTGCATCTGTCTGCTAAACTGAAGAGACGAAAATATCACTTTGAAAAATATCAATTTTATTATTGCCAATTATGATTATAATGCATTTTGGTGGTATAAATAGTGCATTATAGGAGAGAGCTTCGTAATACATAATAAACATGGCTATAATGTGTTATACCTTTTTATAAATGATCATAGCCATGTTTATAATGCTTTATGAATACATTATGTGTTATGAATGTGTTAATAAATTCTTATAGACATGGCACTCAGAGAGTGTTACTGAAAATTATTTCTCTCTTTCATATTTTATCATACACACCTGTGAGCAATGTGAAATTTTGCCGTCACAAAGCTGTTTGTTGAGTTGTTCAGTTTTTATGGGAACTAAAGTGAATCTTAATATCCCTATAGTTTTCTTCTACCCATTTGAGAATCTTTGACTATGCAGAATTAGGAATTTGTTTTGACTTTTGGTAGAAACACTCAAATAATTTTGCATGTGTCTTCATGGGAATAGGAACCAGGGGGATGTGTGTCTTTGATATTTAATTTGGCTTCATTCATCACCCTAATAAACAAACCTTGTATTTTAATAATTAAGGTGTGTCCCCATAAATATTAGCCCCTCCCTTGCACCTTTGTGTATGTGCTGTGTGTTGCCTGTTTGTTAAGAGTATTATTATATTGGTGCATGGGCCTACCAGGCATAATTCCTGGGCCCAGGATGAAATACTTTAACCAGTCCAACATGACATGCAACCCCTCCTACTTGGGTCCTCGCCTGCTCTGCTCAGACCCCCTCCCTGTCCCCAGATATTTGATTGCAGTCAACCACAATGGACCTGTTGGTGACCTATAGCCCTCTGGTATATGAAGCAGCAAACTTTCAGTAAGAAATATTAGTAATTAACGATTAGGATGCCTCGTGTCTCGGGTGTGTATCCCATTCCCAGTACCCCATCATAGAGGAGTAGGGAGCAATATGCTAGTGAGCCCATCAAGGAATGTGAAAGCTTGGCAGCGGTCATGATTCACACAGTAAATCCCTCAAGTGCGCAGCCCACCTTTTACCCCAGTCCAAAGTGATGGCTCTTTAGAAGCAAATATAGAATTCTTAGACCATAGCTGTGAGGGTGGGTGTTGGCCTTGTGTTAATATACTAGTTAAATGGTGCAGATCAGAAACAGAAGAAAAAATCCAGGTTTTACGACTAGATTTAGATGTAAATATACATCTGAAAAAAGGAGAATCATCTTATAAATAGCTTTTATGTAAATGTTTTTATGTAGAAAAATGCTGTTACATTACATTATTTTTAAAATATAAAATATTACTTTTTTTTTTAATATAAAATATAAGGCGTTTTATTACCACATATATAAGTCTATGACTCATTGAGTATAGCATGTGACTGCATTCTCTGATCCTGACTGTAAAGATTTTAGTTGCATAGTTTTTAAATTGAATATTCAGTTATTACTGTCTGTGTTTGTTTTTAATGTTTATGTTATTGTCTTTTTAAATGGCATCTGGGAGCCATTTAACTTAACACTGCGTTTTGGCTTTCTAGTCACGCATTACTATAAACTGGAAACCAGCAACTAAATATTCTTCTGAAATCTTGTAACCCCAGCTGCCACACAGATAATTCTGTCTCTCATTCTCTAATGTTTGGCATAGTAAGTGGGTATTGTAACCTCGAAGTATGCAGTTGCTGTATCCCAGGAATGTTTGTGTTGTACATAAATTGATTGTGTATTAAAAAAACATAATAATAAATCAAGTAATGTGTCTCTTTGTTTTCATTGCAGGGCGTTGTTCAGATATGATGGCTTTAACAATAACTTAAAACTGTCAGATTCAGGAGGTAAGTTCACATGATTTATCAAACGTGTCTTCTACCTGATCTCATGCATGGTGCCATTAAGATATTCCTTTTTCCAGTAACACAGATATATGTAGTTAATGTGATAAAGAGAGATCCATTGTTGCACTTCTAAAGTGTGTTTGCTGCTAAGCTGATCATTTTCCTGCAATACAATGGCTATAACTGCAGGTGATGTAAGTCTCTACATATAAAATAAGAAAACATTTTCAATTAATTATATTTAATTAATTTGGACTGGCTGAATGCAGAACATACCATTTATACTATAGTATAATATGCCCAACCGACTAAGTAGTAGATTACTTTAAGAATGTTGTGTCCTTTTTATAAGGGTTGGGGGTGGTATTGTCAGAAGATAATGTATATTATTTGTTTCTTGTTAGATGCTTTTAATTCACATGTGACAGAAGCAGGAACCTCACCAAGACTTGAAAACTGTAGTTTGGTAATGACTTTTCTTGTGTTTATGCTCTTGTAGTGGGTGGTTTGGTGGAGCTTGTGAAGAGGTTCCACAGAAATAGGGGACTTTATGGACTGTGCCAGGTGACCTTGAAGAAGCCAGAACACCAGCATATTGTTCTTATTTCCTGGGTGAGTCTGCAAAATCTTGGTTTTGGGGCAAAAAGATGTACAATCACATAGGGAAGACCGGAGACAATTTTGAATGGGGTCAGTTGTTTGAAGCGATACAGTAATCTTTCTGCATGACTTAGATTCCCCCAAACACCACTGATGTTTAGCAAACTATGTTGAAAGGAAAAAATGGCAACACTTTACTTGAAGCAGTCATCTATAATGCATTATAAATACCTTCAAAATGCATTATACTGGTTGCTAAAAGAATTAATAAAGAATTACAGCATCTTCTGACAGTTATGATGCATTATAGTGTTGATTAGAATACTTCATAAGCTCTTGTTTGTAATGCACTATAGATACATTCACTATGCATTATAAAAGTTACTGTAAGAATTAACGAGGTTTTGTATTGCATTATGAAGATATCTATAATGCATTGTAGATGAGAGCTTCATAAATACTTCATAATGCATAATTAACATGGCTATATGTTATGCCTTTTTATGAATATTAATAGCCACGTTTATGATGCTTTATGAATGCATTATAATGTGTAACAAATGTGTTCATGGATTCTGATAGACTTGGCATTCACAGTTACTGAAAAAATGTTTTTTCTGTTGTCTTTTTTGTTGTCTGTTTAAAAAAAAAAACAGTAATTGTCCCCATGTGACCCATGAAATGCTTTATTATGCGCTATATCATGAAGGTGTAGCTGATGATCAGTGGGCATGTATTTATCATTGAAGTGAATTTTAACCACCTTTGCGAACACTGGGCGATCCTGCCGATCCAGCATGACATCTGATTCCACACGTGCAGATCGGTGATGATGTGGATAAATGCCGCAGAGAGGAATATGCCAGCCATCAGCCTGCCATCAAGGCATTCTTCAAGGTAAAGCACAGGCCTGATGATTGAACTCTTTATAAGCACATATCAATGTTAAAAATGCAATGGACCCAAAATTTGTGCTTTCTAAACAAATTTGCAAAGCATTAGCAGAGCCTGAATATGTGACATTTTGGACAAAACTACTGGTATACTAACGATTAAACCTTGTGCAGACATTGCGACAGAACCACTTAAGCACACCTAGTGGTGAGGGAAGCACACCTCAAAACATACAGCAGTCATTTTATATATCATAAGAAGTTTGCTAGCTATGGTGTGAACCCAACCCTCACTCAGGAAAGCCACAAGTAGATGCCGTAGATTTGAAGCAGATAGAGCACTGGTGACAATAAAGTGTAAACACGCTCAATGACATAGTTAATGCAAAAGGGTAATCATAGTCAATCATACTTAATATAATATAGCTCAGATTTATTTCTTTCAATTCCAGTAAATGTATTCATTTCATAACATGTGGCAATTACGGTGGCCCCTAGAGACAAAACACACACAAAAGAAAAAGCAGAAACAAAATGAAAATGCGCAGCAAATTAAAAAAACACACAAAAGAAAAAGCAGAAACAAAATGAAAATGCGCAGCAAATTAAAAAAAACACACAAAAGAAAAAGCAGAAACAAAATGAAAATGCGCAGCAAATTAAAAAAACACACGCAAAAGAAAAAGCAGAAACAAAATGAAAATGCGCAGCAAATTAAAAAAACACACGCAAAAGAAAAAGCAGAA